CCTCCCTTCAACCCCTCCACCCCTCTCTATTTACAAAGACTTTGCTTCCATTTTTTCCTTTTCTCATATTTATTCCTTTTCTTTCTTTCCTTTAATCTACCACTCCCACTTCTCCTTCCCCTTTGTACCATTTCTTCCTATTTCACATTATACATTTTGATCCTTATTTACACTTTGTTTCTCACTCCAGAGAAACTATTTTGGTATTTACATGTGTGTCCTATGTATTTTATGCAAGAGTATGGCCTGAATATGCATCCATTTAGCTATAAGTGTCTCCAGTTTCTCATTTTTTATGGCTGAGTAGTATTCCATTTTATTTTTAAAAAAACACATCTTCTTTATCCAGTTTCCAGTTGATGGGCACTTGGGCTGTTTCCCAGCTTTAGCTATTGCAAACTCTGCCACTATAAACATGGGTGCACCTATATCACTGTGGTATGATTCTTTTAATTCTTTTGGGAAGATACTCAGCAAGGGAATAGCTGGGTCAAATGGACCTCTAATCCTAGTTTCTTTTGAGGTATTTCCATACTGATTTCTTTTTTTTAAACTGACTTGCTGTAGTATAGAACAGAGGTTAAGAAATAAAATTTGTTGCCAGGAAAACCTAGGATATAGTTTTTTCTGAACTATTTACTTGGAAAAATAATCTATCTTCTTTATGCCTGTTTCTCATTTATAAAAATGAGATTATGCATGATGTATTATAAAAGTACCGGAGTCAGATTGCCTTTGTTCAAAATCCACTTTGCCAAGTATCAACCCCACTGTGGTGTAATTTCTCTGTACAGTAATAACAAATGCTATCTCTTAGGCTAGTCAAAATAATTCAATGATAATTAAATATATAATATAAAAGACCTAGTACAATGAATAATAGTTTTATTACTATAATTCATATTAATAGCATTTTATTTCTGACAAAACATCTAAAACCTTTAAAGTTTTCTCAAGATAATAATAATGATGATAAAAATGCCATTTGTTGACTGTTTGGTGAATTCTAGGTACTATGATAGGTTTTATAGACATTGCTTCATTTTATTTGAATTGGTACACAGCAAAATACAAGGTTGCAAGTAGGATTTCATACAATATGAAATTGTGAATTCGATCTAAAAGTCCTACTCCCGATGTAGATTTAGAATAGTTTAACTAAGAAAGTAAAATAAGGAAGTGGGTATGTGGTGTTGAAAAAGAGAGAAAAGAAGAAAAAATGATAGGGTTTTTTTCCCTCTCCTTTATAAATCGCTTTTGATGCTGTGCTGGTACCTCAAGACCCAATGTCAGATCACTTTTAGGGCTGGATAATTATTCTGAGACTGAGTAGGCTGACAAGAATTTCAAAGAGACTTCAGCCTTTTAGAAGCAAGGACCCGCGAGTCTATGTGGATTTATCCATGTTTTGGAGAAAAGAGAAAAAAAGAGGTATCACTAACTCGCCAAAGTTCAGTACTGCCGAGTAGCTGCCACAGCTCATAGTCTCTCTGGTCTGAGGCCTCAGGAGGATTCTCAGGATAGAAATTTCTATTTGGTGCATTTTGGCAACTATGTGGCAGAAATGATAAATGAGAAGTTCAGGGATATTTAAAATACTCTCATGAATGTTTACAAAAGTAATGGAGTTATTTTGGCAAATGGTTGGCTCTATAAAGTTAGGAGCACCATTACATTTCCCTCTTTTTTTAAAAAAAATCTGTATTTTTCTTCAACTCTTCTGCTATTGAGAGGTTTTGTACTGCAATCTGCCAATCAATAATAGGATCTAAGAAATGAGAGAAAAAAGGAAATTCCTTCTTCCATGTGGATCACTCTTTTTTTCCTACAAATAGCAACCTGTACTATAGGAAGCTAGAAATGGTTCTTTAATGAAGTTTAAACATAGAACTAATAGGGTCATATTTACCTTAAAAAATAAAATTAGTAGGTGGAGAAGTGATTACATGTGAATTAATATGAGTTAGAAGGTATTGTAATAGTTGAAGAAACTTTGTCCAAACATGTATCTGAGGTTTAATGTTGAGAGAAATTTTCAGATTAGAGTGAAATTTAGTAGGCAAAACTGAGAGATCTTGGTGATGGGCTGCACATAGGGGAAGTGAGAAAGAAGGTAGCATCAAGAAGGACTCCTTGCCTTCTGGTTTTCAAAACTGGGCAATGTTCAGTAGAGTAACAACACATTTTCTTTTGTTTTCTGTGTTTGGAAGGAGAAAGAAAGCAATAAAACAAAGTGCATATGAAAATAATTAAAAACATCAAAGAGTTATGCAAATTAAATAGAAATAGGGGTTGGAGAGCTAAGAGACAACCACAATGTGGGAAAAAATTTTTCACCTGCTGTTCCTCAGACAGAGGTCGACTATCTAGAATCTATAAAGAACTTAAAAAAATCAGATCCCCAAACTTAAAGATCCCATCCCAATATGGGCATTTGAAATGGACAGATATTTCTCAGACAAAGAAGTAGTAATGCAAATAAACATATGAAAAAATGTTCAACATCACTGGTCATTCAAGAGATGCAAATGAAAGCAATGCTGAGATTCAACATCACTCCAGAAAGAATGGCTGCTACCATGAAATCAACCAATAACAAATGCTGGGGGGTGGGGGCTGTGTGGGAAGAGGATAGTGCTCCACTGCTGGTGGGAGTGTAGACTGGTGCAAGCACTGTGGAAATCAGTATGGAGATACCTCAAAGAATTAGGACTAGAAGTCCCATTTGA